TATTATTATTATTATTATTATTATTTTTTCGTATCTTTTTTTTTGTTGTTGTTTAAATTACATCCACTTACTTGTTATTACTATTATTATTATTACAGTAGTACGATCGTACACACGTTGGTGATTTTCTTTCTTTATTTTTTGCAATATTTATCTTTTTCTTTATTTCCCAACCCTTACCAGCCCCGTTTTCCTTTTTTTCCATTCTCGTCTTTTTTTTCATTCTTCTTTATTTATTTATTTATTTATTTATTTATTCACATTTTCTCTCTTTGTCAATCTTACTTTTCATTCAATTTTTATTCCTTTACACATTCGGTGTTCATGTCACAAAACACATACGCACATCTCACACACACGTACGATATTATTTACTATTTATATTTCATTGTATTTCCCTCCCCCACCCCGGTCCCCTTTTCTTTACTTTTTCATAATTGTGCAATTTGTTGTTGATTGATTATTGTTGTTGTTATAATTGTCGTGTATAGTGTTGTCTCATTTGCAATTATGTATGCGTGTGTGTGTGTTAATATATAATTAACATTTTTGTTTCGTTGCATCCTTTCATCATGATTTGTAATTCTATTTTCATATATTATACATATGCGTATAGCTCGTATTTATATTTATTTATTTATATATATATATATATGTATATGTATATGTATATATTGCGTGCGCAAATAAATGTATTTTGATGTTTTTGTGCAAGAGTAAAATGTTACTCTAGAAAATTTCTAACAAGATAGAAATTAATTATTAGCTTTGGTCGAATCGTAGCATTTTTTTATTTGTACAAATTTAAATATGCGTGTGTGTATGTATATATATATATATATATTTTTTATATTTTATTTTATTTTATTTACTCTTATGTATAGACGTTTTGGACTAAATTCTAAAAAGATTTCGTCGAAAGAAATGGGCTTTGTCTTAATTTTTATTTATTTTATTATTGTTATTATTATTATTATTATTATTATTATATATTTTTTTTTTTAACGAAGATTAACACATTTTTCTTCTTTTTGATTTTCACTATTTAAATGTGTTTCTTTTACTTCTCGTGGAGATGTTGACAAATGATAATTCGTATAAAAAAAAAATCATCTATTTGTTTATTCATATGCGTGTTTATGCGTTTAACGATTGATTTTTCCTTTCTTTTTCTTTTGTCATTATTATTACAATAATATTTTTATTCGGTAAAATTTGCAATTATCAAAATTACGACGAGTGGTTAAAAAGCGAGTGATTTAAATAAAAATTAACGAGAGAGAGAGAGAGAGAGAGAAAAAAAAAGAGAAAAAAAAAAAAAAGAAAAAACAACCAAGAAAATTAAGATCTTCGTTTAATATATTTATGCACAGCGAAGAAAAAGAAAAACAAAAGATTAATTTATAAATAATTACTAGCTTCTCGGGGTTCGATTGTAGTTATATATATATATATTTAATCACGTGTTAATTAATAATTGTTAATTAATACGAGACATTTATTCGGAATGTTCGGTGACAGTGTGTGCAGCAGGTTTTTGTTCATTTCTATTTTCTTTTTATAAATGTTGTTGTTGTAGCGTACAAAGCATTAATTTATTATACCTTCTTTCTTTCTTTTCTTGTATATTTATATATATATA